GTTGTACTAGTCTACATTCCCACCAACAGTGTAAGAGGGTTCCTTTTTCCCCGCATCCTCGCCAACACCTGTTGTTGGTGGTGTTGCTGATGATGGCTATTCTAACAGGGGTGAGGTGGAATCTTAGCGTGGTTTTAATTTGCATTTCCTTTATTGCTAGAGATGGTGAGCATTTTTTCATGATGAGAGTGACCAATGTCCCAATTTATCCAGGACTGAGTGCATTTCCAGGATGTAAGAATTCCAGTGTGAAAATTGGGACATTCCCAGGTAAACCATGATGAGTTGGTTTCCTTATCAATAAAAAACTTTCCCCTGTGCCTCAGAAGGTAAGCTGATTGACTAACTATGAGGGTGTCTTAGACCTCAGTGTGGTTGGCCCTGTCAAGTCAGACAAAGAGTTAATTTCTCACTGCCTGCAAAACCCAATCTTCCTAGCCAGCATTTTTCCTAGCTTTTCTCTTCATTGGTCCTATTTCTTTATTATCTAGACTTCTTTTCTCTTCTTGGGGAGAGGTTTTTTTTTGTCTTTTCTTTTTTGGTGCTGGGATCGAACCCAGCGCCTCACGCATGCTAGGCAAGTGCTGTACCACCGAGCTACATCCCAGCCCTCATTTCTCTTCTGCACCCAGGTGACATACCTTTTTTTTCCACCTGAAAACCCATCGCAGCCTCCTTTCTGCCTGTGTCTGCCTCTCTCAAAACCAGGATCTACATCCCGACTTGTGTCTGCCAAATCCTAGACTTCAAAGTTATCTTCTCCAAGATGAAGATGAAGGAATAGGATTGAAGGCCTATGAGCTGTCATTTGGGGATTTCATGCTGACAGAAAACATAGGCAGGTGTTAAGGGGGCCACAGATCCCAGACACCAGTTCAGGCACATGGATCTCAAGTGACAGGCTGTGGAGACCTCCCAATATTCCCTATTTAGGAAATAGGCCTGACATGATGGAAGGCTTTCTGGAGGAGATAACTTTGTTTTTTTTTTAATTTATATTAGCACATATTTATTGCACAGGGGCAATTTGTTGTGACAGTTCTGAATAGCCTTACATTGTACATTGTTTGATCACCCCCTCTATCTCCCCCTGCCACCCCCTACCCATTCCACTTAAAGCAATTACAAGAGGTATCAGGGCTTTATTTCCTTTATGTTTATGAAGCCCATCAATCCTATTCCTTCATCTTCATCTCGGAGAAGATAACTTTGAAGCCTAGGATTTGGCAGACACAAGTCAGGATGTAGATCCTGGGTTGGAGAGAGGCAGATACAGGCAGAGAGGAGGCTGCAATGGGTTTTCAGGTGAAAAAACAGGTGTGTCACCTGGTTGCAGAAGAGAAATGAAGTCCAGGTAATAAAGAAATAGGACTAATGAGGTGAAAGGCTAGGAAAAATGCCAGCTAGGAAGATTGAGTTTGGCAAGCATTGAGAAATTAACATAATATACTAAGGGGTGAAGACTTTGTGGGCCCCAAAATATATTTAAAAAACTTCAAACATGGAGATCTACTTCCTATCACCTTACCTACCATCCTTATTTTTTAGCTTCAAGTCAGGGTCACATACTCTGTGGGTCTCCAGGAGTTTGGGCCTCCCAAATAGCCTCCCAGGAGTGTTCTAGAGGCTAATCTTTCTGTCACCTGACCTTGGGATCTGGACTTCGGAATCTCTCCTTCCCTAGGCTGATTCTGATGCTGGGTCCCAGTTCTCCCCAAGAATTAGAGTTGAATGAATCTCAGAGTTACGGTGATTAGGAGGACTTAGTTGTCACTGTCACTTGTGCACCTCCAGCTCATGAAGCACAATGTTTCCACAGGCAGCTCTTGCCACAATCAAACAGCTCTCATTATCAGAAAACTATTAAGCAGATCATCATAATAAAGTTATTAAACTGAACTAAAATTCATAACTTATGCTCATGGGTCCTTGTCCTTAACTCTGTCCTTTGGTACTTCACAGAAATCTCATCCTGTCTCATAAAAGCTATTAAAATATTTAAGATCAACTGTCATGCTCCTTGGGCTGTTTTCTTCTCTAGACTAAATATGCTTCAACAGTTCCTGTTTGGACAGGACCTGTGTTTGTATTTTGAACTGTTCCATGCCATCACGGATCTCAGGAGCCAGGTACAGTTCCTTGGCACAGAAAGTTCTCCACAGCTGTCTCTTGAATGGATGGGTGAACCCATATCACCCTGATTTGGACTTTGTCAGTTTTCATTTTTCCCTCTTGTGGAGCCCATAGACTTATTCCTGTCACATACTGAGTTAACTATTATCCAGAACCTCTAACATCTGGGATACTCCTTGGCAATGCCCCTTCCCCTATTCTGAAAAGGTTCAGTACAGGTACAGACAGTTGGGGGAGTCTGGCTGCTGTCTCCATGAACTCTGGACCTTGTGTCTGGGGCATGGGAGTCTCCAGTAGCAACAGCCTGGGCAGGCACTGGGTCACAGCTTTGTGAACACATGGATGTGTGGAATTTCCCATGACAGCTAGATGAAGGCCTGCCGGCTGATTGGCATCTGCTTTCTTATCTGCAATTGCATCTGCTGAAGCCTCCCCTGTAATCACCAAGCTTTTCCTCTATCTGATATAGCTGGACTATTCCTGCTCATTAGCCTTGTACCTCCTTTCCATGTCTGGGTGTCTGATCTTGGACTCCAATCTGTGCATACCTTTAGTGTCAGAGAACAAAGACATTGTGATTGAGCTGATTTAGTGACTGTGAACCTCCTTCAGCCCAACAGAAGCTTCACTGATAAATGGGAAGGCCTTTCTGGGTCTTTTCTTCAGGCTCTGGCCCTGGGGAGTGGCTGGCTTATTACTAGATTGGAAAATGGATAAGAAAACCTATCCCACCCATCCCATCCAGGGAGGCATACTCCTTGTGCGATTCAGAACTGCCTATGATTAAGATATCTGGAGATGATCAGGGACTTGGGATGTCCAGGTGGTTTTTAGAAAGGTGCCCTTGGTGAGAGTAGTCTACAGAAAAGATAACTCCTGGCTCTGCGTAGAGACATTGACTACCTGGCTCACCATTATATCTTCAGTACCTGACACAGTGCCTGGTACTTGGTAGATGATCAGAAACCCTTATTACGTGGATGAATGAACCAATGAGAAGATAGTTTCTGGAAATCTCTTTTGTGTGTCTAATGCACTTTGGTCAGGCGAGTATCAGAATGACTTTGGTTAGAGTATGGGTTTATTATTCACTAGCTTAATGAGGCCAGATAGGTTTTCAAGAAAGGGGCAGCTGAACTTCTTGAAGTTGCTGCTAAGATTTCTTTGAGAATGCTCCAGGCCACCTGACTATTCAGTGAGTACATGATGATGCTATGTTGCCTCTTAAAACCTCCCCCAAATTATGCCACAATTCTATCTTATCCTAGAAAATTGAGAGACCATGTGATCCCAGTGCTAGAAGACCCTCAGTTCAGTCAAACAGCTGGAACATGGGCTCAACACAGCCTTCAGGGAGGGCATGTCCTGGCCTTTTACCTCCTAATCTGACTGAGTAGGGAGAGGGGTCTGGGGAATGGATAAGGAGTCCCTTATCCATTCAGAAAGCTGAGTATTGGCATAGCTTCCCCTGGCACCAGGTCAGTCCTCAGGACACTGCTGAGGAATGAGAAGGCAGTCTCTGGCTCTTTCATGTCAGTCAGGTACTTCCTCTGTCCTTTTACCCAAGCCAAATCCATAGCCATATTTCCTCTATAGGTAGAGGAACATCAGGGTACATTCAAGTTACCCAGGCTACCTGGCTTTCCATCTCGTTAGATGGCAGGACAGATGAATTTGGTCCTCAAGTATATGTGCATCTTAGAGACATGTTTAATTTTTCCATATGACATGGATGCTGCTTGTAGCTGTCTTGGATTCATTGGAGACACCTCTTCCACACAATTTTCCTCCTTCCTATTAGCAGCCTTTTCATCTGGAAAACAAGGATCAGAGAGGAAAGATGCTACAGTGGAACATATGTGAGACTAAAGTGTGTGCATGGGTGAGCCTAGAAGAAGTTGTGATTGGGGTGGTTCGAGTATCTGGAAGAAAGTCTCATTCAGTGTTGTCGTTTTATGTAGCTGTGAGATCTGTGTTTTATTCTTATTCCAGATTCACTCTCCAAAGGAGAAAATAATTGCCACAAAGACAGGAAATGGTTGGGTGGTGGAGAGGAAAGAGCACACATCAAGTCAAATATCAGCCTTAGGATCAGCTTTATTATGTATTTTACCTTCACCAAGGAAAGGAAGGCAGGAAGCTGGAGAACAGACCAACTTATATCACAGAGACACAAATAACATTTCTAAAGAGCATACACGGTGCTCAAAGCCCAAGCAGACCAAAGGGCCTAAAACTAATCTTCTATGAAGTGCAAAGATTGGCAAGGACCCAAGCATCCCATCCTGTATTTTCTTATTAGCTGATTGGATTCAATCATTTACATACTTTTGTTTTATTTTTAAAAATCACACCCAACAATTTAATGTCCAATCATTTGCTATAGGATGCAGACATAAAAATTACACAATTTTTAATTTTTGCATTAGCACCAAACTCTTCTTAACACCCATGGTAGTGGTGGTGTTGATGAGCACAAAGCCAAACAAATTCAGTTTATTTTGATTCTTGAATGAGAGCTTGATATGCTGAAAGATGAATAAGGCAATTTTGGTCATTACACATCCAGGGCTGGGTGAATTTTTGCCCCAGGAAATCTGTACTAGGCTTCAGTGTTCTTCCTTGATAACCACACCATTCCTCATTTGAGATCTTCCACCAGACTGCAGAGAACAATACTTTTTCACAGATGAAATATAGACAACTGTCTTCAGAGACACAAACCAAGTCCTGAAATACTGAGGAAGCCAGGAGGCAGGAAGGTACATTGTACACAGAGATACCCACAGAGAAGGTCACCAAAGTGAGGGCTGGGGTTAAATTTTCATCTGTTGACCATCGTCTTCACCCAGATGGCACAGGAGCAGCTACTTTCCCTTGCCAGGAGGTGGGCACTTCTCCTGAACTTTTGGTGGGCACACTTCCACACATTTTGTCTGGGCTATCTCCTGGCATGGCTCCACACACTGAGGCAGACCTTGGTCTTGGCAGGGAGGTGGGCATGGATCTTGACCTTGCTGTGGGCAATTGTTTTGGTTTAGCTCTTGACACTGAGGGAGACATACCTCCGGAGCTTGTGGTGGACACTTATCATGGCAGGGGTCCTGACACTGGGGGAGGCACACCTCCTGAGGTTGTGCCTGGCACTGCTCTGCGGTCTTTTGAAGACATGGAGGCGGCACACATGGCTGCTTGCACTGTTGATCACTGAAGGACATCCTATGATGATGTGCAGAACCTGAAATATACACAAGGGTTGAAATGATTTGGATTAAAAGCACCAGGCTGGAAACTGGGGGATGAAGTGTTTAGAGAAGGGGAGGGGCAGCAAGAGATTATTAACCCTAAGAGTTTATTTCTATGCTTCTTTTTATCCCTCTTCCTTTGTACCCTCTGCCTCAACCCCTACTGACACCTGTCTCTAACGTGGAGTATTCTCACGGCTTTCATGAGCTATGGATAACCATAACTCCAAACCACTGTCTCATCATAGATCTTTTCTTTCTCTTCTGTTTGATTAATCCTTTGGAAAAATCAGATGCGAGAGACTAGATAGAATCCACAGGATGGTTAGAAGCCCAAGAAATGACAAATCACTTAAAAATATCAGTTAAAAAGAATAGAGTAAGGTAGGAGCAGAATAGTAGTCTCCCAAAGAGCCTCCACCAGGGCACAGTTTCCTTTACTTACCGATCTTCAACAAGACTCAAACAAGTATGAGGATTGTGGAATCCAGAAAGGAGGTGACTTTTATATAGTGCTAGCTCTGGCCTCCTGCAGGGCTGATGGGCCACGTGGGCTGAGGTCCTAATTGTGGAGTCACCATAACGAGCTTCCTCTGAAATCACAAATGATTTGAGTCACTGCTTGGGATGCCTGTTAATCAGCCTGCATTTTGGCCTCTGGGTCCTCACCAGACCTCAGCAGGGAGGAGTTCCACTTAGATCTACATCAGAGGCAGCAAGAAAAGAATGTTCATAAAATGTTATCTCAGTCTGTTAAACCAGAATTGAGGTTCCTTGTCTGCCCACACTAGTTCAGGATGTGGGAAAAGATAAGATCCACCTTGCTCATCTCATCTTTACCAATGGGAAGAATTTATGCCCAAGGCCTTGGGTCTGTCTGAGTGAAGGGCTTGTGTGGCCTCTATCGGACATTTTGATTGAGCCTGGAAACTCATATGTCCAGACCCGAAGAGGATGGCTTGTCCTGGGTTCAAGCAAACAAATTGCCTACAGTCTTGTGAACAGAATAATTTCCCTGCATGAAGGCCCTGAGAGAAATTGTAGTCATTTGTTGTTCTTAGGTTGGGAAGTGTGATGGAGGGGAAGGTAGGCAATCTTCATCTTCTCAACCCTGAATTATGACATTCTTTTGAAAGTGGAGTTACTCACAGAGTTTTTATAGTGACCAAAAGACAGGTTGGAACAAGGTTAGCATATTTCCTTGCCTTCTGAAAAAAACCTTTCTTAGAACTCAGGTCAATAAAAGCCAGGAGGAGAAAGGAAAAGTCGCAGAGCAAATATAGTCAGGTTGCTGTATCTTAAAGTCTTGATTTGGGCTTACTTTTGCCTGATGTGCCCTCCTTCTCTGTGCCTATTGAAACTCTAAGCATTCTTTAAGCTCTGCTCAACTCTCCACCTTCCAAGAGCCTTTCATGGTCACTATAAACCAGAAAGGAACTCATGTCTTTGTGAACTCCCATAGATCTAGTTTGTGCTATTTATATAACATTTACTATTGCTGTTAAGAATTCCAGTAATTGTGTACAAGAGTGTATTATTTCCTTGGGTTGTTAAGTTTCTAGAGAATAGAAACTATGCCACAAAAGTGGAAAATGATGGGAGATAAATTATTGTTGATGGGGTAAATTCATCAAAGAAGGAATGAAGTGGTGAATGTAGGACTTGGTTAGTAGCAGAGAAATAGCTCACTTAACTGAAAATGGTAAAAGTTTATTATGAAAGAAACCCCTAGTCTATAAAGTGATGGCCTTATGCTTGCTAATGTTGACTGAATTCTAGAGACTTTAAAAGTGATGATTTTCTCCTCTTCCCCTTTAGATTAAATTAAATCCTTAGCTTCAAATGTCTATATAGGTTTTAGGTGTTTGGCACCTGAAAAGTTTTTAAAAGGTAGCTGGGTAGAACACATGGTACCTTTGAATTTAAAATTGGTGCATGGAGGATTGATATGACCTAGCATGGACCCCTTGGTAACCTGGTAGGAGGCAGATGCCCAGGTAAAGAGAGATTTAGAATGCCCATGGATGTACTTTAAAGAAACAAGGTCATTTGGGAAATATGGGAACTGGGTGATTAACAGGTTAGGATCTCCTCCTCCTCATTTTTCCCCCTTGTTTTGCATTTCCTTCCATTTTTTTCTCCCTTCTTTGTCTCCTTCTGTCTTTGAAAGACAAAGCAACATTCCAACACCAGATGAGGCAAGGAATTCTTCACTGATGAGTTTATTAATTCATTCTTTTGGTCTTTCAAAAATAAAATCCCTGTTTTCTAAGGGGCTCACAGTTTCAGAGAGAACATGGACAGGAACTGGGTCCCTTGTTGATCTCCCACAAAAGATCATGGAAGTCCCCTGGGGAAGAGATGTCTGAGCTAAGTCTTACTGAATGGTAGGAATGGCAAGAAGGGTAGATAAGGGCATTCTAGGTAGCCTTGAGGAAGAAGTTTGATTAGAAGGCTTTTGAAATGTGGAGATCCAGATGAGATGAAAGAAGAATCTGAGGCTGATTTAGGAAAGGATGGGTGAGACATGGGAGAAAGGAGACTTGCTTGAGATTTCCAGAAATTTTCTTAAACAATATGCAAGAGATGCACTTGCTTATGCCACATGCATTTCTGTGGAGACCAAACAGCAATGCACAGAACAATAGAAAGATTAGATCATGTTCTCACAACCAGGAGTGAACCTATTTGCACAGAGATCAGAATTCAGTTTTTCTGAAAGGCCTCTCTGCCTGTCATTAAATTGATTCATGATAATGGAAAACTTCTGAAATTGACCCTAAAGTCCTTATGAGAAAGGCAGTATAATGGCCTTCCAAAGATAGCTACAGCCTAATCCCTAGAATTTGTGAATTTGTTAGGTTACTTAGTAAAAGAGAATTAAGGTGGAAGATGGAATCTAGGTCACTAATTAGATGATTTTAAAATAGGGAGCACATTCTGGTTATCCAAGTGGCATCAATGTAATCACAAGGATCCTTGAAAGAGAAGAAACTGGCAGAAGAAGTGCCTAATGGGAAAGACTTGGCTAGCCATTGTTGTCTTTGGAAATGGACAAAGGCCATGAGCCAGGATTAAAGGCAGCCAGAGTCTAGAAGCTGGAAAATGCAAGGAAACAGACTCTTCCATTGAGCCTTCAGCCTTAATAGTACTTTGACTTTAGTCCAGTGAGATCTGTGTTGTCGCTGAAGGACAGATGAGGGGGCTCCACAACTTTCCAGTTTCCACGTAAAATCTCAGGTCATGAGATCCACAAACATTGAAAAACTTTTCAAATTGTCTCACAATGTGAAAGTTTTAGCAAGAATTTATTTTAGTATAACAGGATAAAGTACAGACAAGGGGTGGGGGAGAGGAAAAGAGAGAGAAACATGAAGGAAATGGGAGCAAAGACTCAAAATGGTGGTCCCCAACTCTTAGTCTTGTAGTGGAGAGCTGGGGGAATACATGTGGTCAAAGATAATGGGTCTGGGTTGTTGAAATGGCTGACAGGAGAGATCATCCTCTTAAATCACACCCTAAATCAGAGACAATAGCATACTTTAAAACTTCTCTTTCCTTGACATGATTATTTCTCCACCCATCCAAGGATCCTTACAGTTCCTTAACATCTCAAAGAGGAAAGCAGAGCAGGTCTCCCAGTTTTTATAACTTAACATCTAAAAGATGGGAGGTGCCAGCTGCTCTGGCTCTCCTTGTTTCAGTGTCAGTTTCTTGCCTTTTAAATACTGATTAAAATATAAATTCCCTGTCTCCTCATCTATCTATCCTGTCTCATGGATCAGACTTATAATCTCCAGAACTATATTTTTGTTGCTTTGATTCATTAAATTAGTGGTAACTTCTAACAATAACAGTAAGAAACCTGTACACCTCAATGTCTGAAGCTCTTAGGATCGCTGGGGGAGGGAAGTCTCGATGAAGCAGTGAAATCTCATCTCAGTGTTCTCATTTAAGTAGATTTCTACTTGTCACGTCAGCACCCTCAATTAAAGACTAGCTTTTGGTAAAGAAGGCTCTGAGATAAATGGAAAAAGAACCCAAGATTCAGGAAGGTCTCTAGTACATAGAGCATATGAAGTATTAGATATGTGACTTAGCCTCTCGGAGATACAGTTTTTTTTCTTTTGAGAATATGAAATAGTATTTCAAAGGTTTCTTGTAAGGAATAAATTAGAATATGCATGTACTAACAGTTAGGGCCTTTGAGCTACTTATAGAATGCTAATGCAATTTGAATTGGTTCAGAACTCACCTCCTCCATGTAGTCTTTCTCAGTTTTCCTTGTTCCATGTCCTTTACTCTGTCTCCCTAACATTTGGTCTTTGACTTGCACTTTTCTACTTACTGCAATGCATAGACAATGTACTGCACAGAGACCTGGGATATCTGGCTCTGTCCCTAACAAGATCATGAACTCAGACTAGTTCTTGATCTTTGGCCTCAGTTTCATCATCATCAAAATAAGGGAGTAAGACTTTCAGTAGAGTCCATTTCCTGCTCTGACATTCTGTCACACTATGAACGTAATCATAAATGTTGAACCTGGGTATCTATGTGAACTTCTAAGTGTATGTATGTGTGTGTGTCCTTCCTCCTTGATTAGTTTATAATATAGCCATGGAAAGATGCAGTCTTCTGTCCTCTGCATGTCTCAGAGGCTCAGCTAGGTGGTTGAATGATCTTAAGTGACCTGTCTTTTCCTAAGTGCAGAGTGAGAGTATTTGAGGTCTGAGCCCCTCAAGAATCAATCTAGTGACCAAGCATCTGGGGATGTGGCTTGGATATCTTTGGGGAGAGATTGTCTTACTCCAAATCTTAAGATAAGCTGACTAAGTAGTTTCTGTGACTATCCCCAGCCCTCCAGCAAGATTGGGGATAATTTGATTTAATGCCATCTGAGATTTCAGATTTTAGACTTCTGGAGCTGTCATTATTTGGAGCCAGGGCATAATTACAGCAGAAGAGACTCA